TGCTGCTGCTGGTGGTGGTGGTGGTGGTGGTGGTGGTGGTTGTAGCGGTGGTGGTGGGGGGGGGGGGGCATTTTTCTCATTAAATGGGTTTCATTTTTAAATTCATCAATTATTATTAGCAGTAGCAGCAGCAGTAGGGCACCTTGTCGGGATCCCAAAAGAGTACGGCAATGTTGCAGTGTTGCACTGTCCTGGGTCTCTTAGAAGGTTATTCTGAAAGGGTACTCGGGAAGTAAGACTATGTGTTTCACAAGTGTTTCCGATGACAGTTTCAAGCGCTGGGTACTTCGCATATCGTGCATATGTATCCTGGGGCTCCAATCCGAAAGGACCCTTGGTGTGGCACCTTCATGGGTGATTATACAAGCCACAGCAGTAATTCCAGGCATAGAAACTCCACGTAGGATCCTTTGAGTAAGAAGCCTCCTGCACGGGGTCTGGTACCTGCTGAGGCAGTTCGGGGTCGATATCCTGTGAGCTTGAGAGCACAAATAGCTCTTGCCCTACCTTAACCCACCAGAACCTACTTTTTTGCAGGGTCCTTGTAGATCCCAAATGAGGGTTTATGATAAGAACCTACACAAAAGAGCGTTTTGGTAGGTTAAGGTAGCCTCCAGGGAATTTTCGTTTAAAGGATCTAGGGCAGGAGGTTTTGGCGCAAGGGTTTGGGGGAAGACCACACTGTCCATGGCCTTGGGGCTGTTTTGAGCCTGAGGGTTAGGATAATAAGGTACACAGCAGGCTACCCAACACAAGCGATTCCAGGTCTTCAGCATGCTGGGTGGGTCCACAGAGGACATGACAAAACTGAGACGAATTCTGGAGGCAGATTGTCCGTGCTCGCACAGAAGCGCTTCGCGAGCGCGGCAAAAGAAAGCATTCTGCAGCAATCATCTCACTACGCAGTCTTTTCAGGACTATACCAGGTGGGGTTATGAAGTCGTCCTCCTGGACATCGTGCCTCTCAGCTACGTGGAGCCCGCGCGTCGAGTCGGGTTGCACCGCCAAGTTCCGTCCTGCGAAGGGAAGTCGCAGGGAGCCTGTGCTACCGAGTCGCGCTGTGTTTGCGCATGCGCTTTTATCGAGGAACCCTAAACCCTAAACCCTCAGGCGTGGCGTGCAGAGTTTCCAGTGGCCACGCCTGCAGTAAGGGTTTAGGGTTTAGGGTACCCGAATCCCAACCCCCAACAGCTTGCCCCAAATTCAATTCCGCAACCCTAGACCCTAAACCCTAAACCCTAGGCCCTACCCTAAACCCTAAACCCTACAACCGATAAACCCTAAACCTTCAAATTCCCGAAAGATAAGTGAAAGTATCCTTTTTTGATTGTCCCTGACTAGCTGTACTTCATGTATCCTAAAACCCAGCTCCAAATTTGTAAGGCCCCTACGCTGCAACCTTATAGTAGATCTCAAGTAGTTACCCCTTGAAGGAGCACCCCAAGAAACCAGACTTACGGCCCGTATACCAGACCTCCGAAAAGTATGCTAGGCGAAGCCATCTGCCTGCATCGCAGCTGCTGAGCTACGTGCCTTGGCTTAAGGACGAAATGGCCCTCAAATAGGGTTTAGGGCTTTAGAGTTTGGGGTCAAAAACATCGGGCTCTATATCCTGTACGGTAGTCGGCTGCGTAAGCGTTTTGCGCCATTCGGTGTCATTTTCTCTTTCAGGCTCAGATAGCATACCTAAACCCTAAACCCCGCACCCTACATCCTACTCATTAGGTACGGACGCTGAGGCGTCTTGTTGAGACGGGGCAAGAGGAGCGAGGGGTGTGGCTTATGCCGCACTGTTTTTGCAAGCTTCGCAGCACTGATGGGACACTCATGGCTCTAAACCCCTAAACCCTGAACCCCAAACCCATAAACCCCAAACCCTAAACCCCTAAACCCTGAACCCTAAACCCCTAAACCCCTATACCCTAAAGCCCTAAACCCCTAAACCCTGCACCCTTAAACCCCCAACCCCAAAGCCTTTATCAGCTTTCCCGGAATACCAGGCCTAAGAGGGAGCTGGTCCTGCTGGAGTGAGCAGGCAGCCGCCACAGTGAAAGGCAGTTGCTTCATCGCACCACTGCTTGCAAGGGCGGGAACAGACCACATGGGCATTGCAGCTGCCATAATGGACCCAGAGAAAATGGCACCGAACAGGTGGTCTGGCTGCATTCCGTGGTAATTACAGACTTATTGCGCGAGATTGCCCTAAACCCTAAACCATAAACCCTAAACCCTAAACCCTAAACCCCGTAAGTCCTGGTAAATATCGTACCAAATCTTGTGTGCACCCCGCGAGCCGACTCCTCGACCAGGAGTGGGTATCGAAAGCTCATGACGCCGTCATCGGCTCCCCTTGGGGGTACTTAGAAATAATTTTTAATTTTTGGCTACTATAAACCCTAAGAAGCAGCTAGAATTATAATTTTTGCTAGGGGTCTAAGTTCAGTATAGTCCCAAGGCTGGGTGACAGCCGTCCGTCAACAGAGTCGCCCCAACGTGGACGCAGGGATTGCCACGTTCCTCCCTTAAGGACGACATGAACCCTAAAAGGGTTTAAGGTTCATATACCATATAGGGATTCATAGTCTATGGGTATAGGGCCCCTACTTTCAAGGGTCATTTCGTCCTTAGGGTCAGGAGCACTGTGCTCCAGCAGGGCAGTAGCGTGCTGGCTGTTGCGGCTCTACTTCAGGGAAGCATGTCGAGTGGATGGTACCACAGCTCTGGATCCGAACCCTGCGCGTTTAGGGTTTAGGGTATAACGTTTACATGTATCCCCAAACCCTAAAAAATAGTAGGTTATGACTCATGACCCCTTCATTAAGAGGGTCTAACCCTATAAAAACGGTAGGTCTTCTGGATCCCCAGGTAGGGTTTAGGGTTTAGGGTTTAGAAATAAGCACTAAGTCTTCAACTGTGGGTTTCCTACCTTGGGGACCAAATGACCCCGATGAGTAGGGGCCCTAACCTTTATATTAGGGTTTAGGGTTTAGGGTTTAGGGTTTAGGGTTTAGGGACCATGAACCCCCGGCCGAATCCCATATGGTATATGAACCTAAAACCCTCTTGGGGTTCATGTCGTCCTTAAGGCAAGAGCTTGAAACCCGGTAAATCCTAAAGACCCTGAAGAAACCCCAAAGCTCTAAGCCCTGTTTAACAATCCTAAACCTTACCTAGAAGCCCTAAGGCTCAAAGTAGCCCAAAAGCCCTATATAGTGAGGTCTTTGGGCCGAAAAGCCTTGGAATATGAATCCTTAGAGCCTTAGGGTAAGCCCTAAAACCCTAAATCCTAAACCCTTAAACCCTATAGAAGCCCTACAGCCTAAAGCCTAAACCCTAAACCCCTAAACCCTAAACTTAATATAAACCCCTAAAACCCTAAACCTAATATAAACCCTAAAACCCTAAACCTAAGATAAACCTTTTCAGCCCCAAAGCCTAAACCCTTAACCCCTAAACCCTAAACTTAATATAAACCCTCAAGCCCTAAAACCCTAAACCCTAGGAGCCCTAAAGCCCTAATACCAAATATAAGCCCTAAAAACCCTAAACCTAATATAAACCCTATAAACCATGAAGCCTAAACCTTTAAACGCCTAAACCCCAAACCTAATATAAAACCTAAAACCGTTAAACCCTATAAACCCTAAAGCCCTAGAAGCTCTATAAGCCCTAGAAGCCTAAAACCCTGAACCCTGAAACCCCAAAACCCTACAACCCCTAAGCCCTAAAACCCTAAAGCCTAAACCTAATATAAACCTTATAAGCCCTAAAGCCTAGATCGGCGATGGGAAGCTGCTGCCGTCGGCGCGAGCGTTGGAGTTGGGATGCGGCGTCTCGGGCTGTGGGTTCGTGGCTCCGTGCATTTAGAGAGGGTATAGGGTTAGGGTTTAGGGTATTGGGTTTAGGGTTTGGGTTTAGGGTTTAGGGTTTAGGACTAGGGTTTAGAGTTTATGGATTACAGTGCTCCCCAGAAAGTTGGAACATGAGCTTAGGAGGGTTGGTGCTAGGATCCCTTATACTTTACCTTAAGGGCATGAGGATATGGATGTTCCAACTTTCTGGCTTCTGCTGTAGGGCTTAGGGTTTAGGGCTGGTATGGGCGTATAGGTTTCTTGGGCTTTCGGCAGTTTGAGCGGGATTGCAGGGCTAGAGACGATTATGGGGTGTAAAGGCCATTATCGGGTGTAAGTTGTAGGGTACATGGGCTATCATGGAGTTTAGGATTTAGGGTCTACCCATAGGCCCTAAAGTAGTTCCTTTTGGGGGTTCATATATAGAATCCTATAAGGTAACCCCAAAAAGGAACTACTATGGGGCCTATGGGTAGGTTTAAGGTGTATATATTCCATTACATAGGACCTGGGGTCGATAGGCGATCGTAGTGCTTAGGGCATATGCTCCTTTAGGTGGTTCGGGCTGGGTCTATGGGCGATGGTAGGTTTTAGGGTTGACATGCATGCCTTCAGTCGCATTGCTATAAGTTAGAACCCTAAACTCCTAAACCCTAAACCCTAAACCCAGCCGTTTCCGAAGGAAGCTGTGGAAGAATGAGGTGATCATAAGCGAGTCTAACACGGCTGCAGCACCCCTGAACACGAAGCACGGTTTCCTGTGTTTTGTGGCAGGGCCGTAGAATTCCTGTACAATGGTGGAGAGCTCATAGAAGGGGTTATGCAAGCCCTAAGCCCTAAACCCTACA